CTCTGAAATCTTGGATTCTGAGAATGCCAGTTTCCTTAAAATTCTACGACGGTGCGGTCTTTTTCTTATCCGGGTCCGCTAAATATCTAGACCGGCCAACACACTCCTGCCGTGGTCCCTAATGGATCCACGGAACGATTAAAACTAAACTAAATAGGAGGATGCCCCATAATAAAAGCGCGATGCGCATGGAATAGGGCACCTGGAGGGGCTTCGTGAGAAAGTCCCCGTGCATATCCTGTGTGGGACAATACACCACTCGTACATTTCCCTGCTTCACTTGGTCGTGAATAAAGAAGAACGCACATTCAGAGCACGAGTACGCTTACCGGCGCTGCTCTTACCATTCTCACGAGAATGATAGCACTCTTGTTGTCTTGGTAAAGATGTTCTCCTGGACATCGACACCTTGGGCTTCAAAAACAACTTGGTCCACAAAAAAGGCTCATAACATCGTCAGCTCCAATGAGTTCAGCGCGGTACTGCTTCGGGCGTTGAGTTCTGTTGCTAGACACAGCAATTGGGGCACCGCGGCCGAAACTGAGCACTCCTCCAGGTATGGGAACGGTAGTCTGGGTGTACACAAAACTGGCATCCACCCACCAGCGAATAATGCGAACGTCGTCAGCATGGAGGATGAGCTTGTCGTTCAAAGTCTGTTGAATAAACTTGAGGCCTTGGAGAAGTTTGCCCAATCGTTCTGGTTCGGTTGCTTCACTCGAGTACAAAGGACGGTAGTCAGGGTTTGCATATCTGGACGTGCACGCTTACAGGCAAAGAGTAGCTTGGCTGTGTTCGTGTGGAAGGTATCTTTCGTATCAGGGTCCAGATTGTCACCGTCACCCACAGAAAACAAATCAGCTGGGGCTGCACTCGGAACAGAACGGACATGTTCGAAGTTACAGGGAACTCCTCGAGCACCTTGGTCAATAATCGATCATGTCAATCTTGACTTTGCCCGGCTCAGAAAAATCAATCGTCATCCCTAGATAGTCATGCTTGGGTCTCTGGTTGCTTTGACAGCACCGTAGGTACCATACTTCTCGTTGCACCAGCCAGGAAGTCGTCATTCACCTTGGCAATCATATGACTGGACATGAAATCGTCGACATGGAAACGGATAGTCTGTTGCTTGCATTGACCATCCTTGTTGCAACACAAGGATCGTAGGGTTGAATTCGAAACCAATAGACTCCAAATCCTTGCGGAATGCCTTGTAACAAAGTAGACTCGCAATGAGCATTCATAAGTGCCTTCAATACCACAACGTAGAGATAGGTCTCCCCTTCTCATAGACAAGAACGGCTTGTAAGTGTCAGGGTCGATTTCCACAAGTAGCTCTGCGAGAGTACCTTCGATCTTCATGATCACCCTGCACCACCATCCTTGGGTTGCGGCAATGCTGTCTGGATGAAGCATTCGCAACCTGGCAGAAAGATCATTCTTTCTGCTCAGCTCGCCCAAATCAACAAATTAACTTGATATTAGCCAGTAGCTACAGTGTTGCCTTATCCAACAAAATCCGCTTAGGCTAAGTGGATTTACGTGAATCACTTAGACTAAGTGTTGTACTTAGCCTAAGCAAAACACTTTGGCTAAGCGATACACTTAGGCTAAGTGATGCTCTCCGAGACATCTTCTCAACAGCACAAGTCCCTGCAGCTTGTTGTAGTATACACAAACTCTGTATTACTGCTGATCCTCCTTCACAATAGCAGTAACTATATTGCCAGCAAGTGCTTTGGGGCTATGCAATGAGGGAATGGCAGCCACACCAAATTCAGGCTCACAACTAATGACCAACAACTCTCAGATGGTAGGTAAATACACTGAACATGTATTTGCAAACATCGTGAACATCCAAGATTTTGCAAGAAAGCAACATCATTTGTACATCGGAATGGTACAACTGTACCCACAACTCCTGAGGAGTACTTTCGGACTTCCAGGTGCCCTGAAACCGTAATAATTCTCAATCATACAGAGTCTCTCTTGGCACCTTTTTGTTGTTGCGTATTTACATTATAGCCAAGGGTGGAAGCCAAATTAATAGTATGCTGCCATGGATGGATGGTACCATCCTCCAGGGAAGTTGCAACCTGAATCTGAATCTCTGTTGTAACCCAATTAAACTCTTTCTTGCGAAGCTCTTTGAGCAGTTCACAAGAAGCTGAAAGTGGGGGCATGATGGGTGATAGTTGTGTCTCCTTGTGTCTGTGTGTGTGCTTGCTGCAGGGACTTGTGTTGTGCTGTTGAGGAGACTTGTGCTATTGAGGAGATGCATCGGAGAGCATCACTTAGCCTAAGTGTTTCGCTTAGCCTAAGTGGGTTGTTTTGTATGGCATAGCCTAAGTGTATTGCTTAGCCTAAGTCTATTGCTTAGGCTAAGTAAAACACTTAGCCTAAGTGGATTTTCGAGCACTTAGCCTAAGTGAAAATTTGTGAGGGACAAATCACGCTATATCCTATGCACATGCTAGCTAGCACGCAGCCTGGACCTCTGTGGAAAAGTCATTCGTGGAAAAATACTTAAGAGATGATACACCGAGGCATAGGAGACGATCGAAATGATTTAGGAGACGAAAGCAATCGTCTCCTATATTTAGGAGACGATTCAGCAGGAGACATTCCAATTAGGAGACGATCGTTTCGAAATAGGAGACGATCCGAAAGATTTAGGAGACGATACCATACAGTTTACATGGTACACTTAGGAGACGATCCGTTGAGAATAGGAGACGATCCGTTGAAAATAGGAGATGATTTAAGAGGAGACGAAAGATTTAAGAGACGATCCGTTTCGTCTCCTATTTTTAGGAGACGAAATCCATTAAATAGGAGACCAAAAAAAGGATTTAGGAGACGACCGATAGCACGACTCGAGTTTCCACAGAGGTCTTGCGGTGGGAGCCTTGAGAACGATTCGATTCAAACGAATCATTGTCTTTTGGAGCTTGGGTGTGCGCTTGCACCCACCACCTCAACCAAAACTGTGCAGGTAACAGTACAATGCATCAGTGGCACAATGCGTAAGCATGACAGGCACTGGTGTGTCATGTGGCGCCCAGGCAACCAGACGCTTTCTTTGTATGAAGCTTAGACGTAACCCTAATGAATGTATCCAAACCAACCAGTAGGTACCAGTTCAGCTACTGTTATGCACCCAGCCGCAGCTGGCCACCAGTAGCTCTTGGCCTCAGTCTGCCAATCGAATTCGTTGAGGGCACAGGCACTCGGCAGTCTGATTTTCTCAGGAATTCAATCATTCTAACCGCACACGGGTGACCAGCAAGCAAACCAAACAATGGAACTTCTCATTGGATTGAACACATACATGTATTGCCGCGTGTTTTGCTCGGGTACATGTAGAAGAAGCACTCCTTACGTGAAAGCCTGCCAATTGACCCTGCCCTATTTGTGCGCTCTAGGAATGTGGAAGACGTACCGAGGTGGCTGGGGGCGGTACTTTCCCCTTGCAAGGGGCGCCAAATCGCAAGGGTCATGCTTAACCTTTGCCCTATTAATGATTCGCATAAGTGTGAGGTGTGAGAAGATCTGGAGTACTTTCAGTAAGAAGGCAGATCCTGGGTTTACTCTGGGCCACTGCCATGATCTTATATGTCTGCTGATGGCTGCGAGAGGATCTGTAGCCCAGGGTGCTACTATCTGAGAGAGGACTGGCCTAGCTATCAACAGTTTGCTATGCGTCTGTCTGCAATCTGGGTCCTCACGGTTTCATGTTTGCACTTCATGAGAACTCTTGGGAGCCCAACAGGGAGGTCGGTGGTATAAATATCCTCCTACTCGCTCCGAACTGGGAGTCAACACCTTTTCAGAGGTGAAGGAATCAAGGGTCCAAAAAGGGAATCATCGCTCTTTGTACTTCGTTTTGACTTTTCTAGGTGTGGTATTTCACATCCAAGCGACTCCAAACCCATCCCAGCTTCACGATTTGGATACTAGCTAGCTGAGCCCTACTAGCTAGTAGTGGTACTCTCGAGGGCCCCCCCCCCCTCACTGCGATACCCAACTGCGCAACCACCTCGATAGCAGCTACATGAACAAGTAGCAGCTAGCTGGAGACTCGACTCAACTCAGCTACCGGTCAAATCCAAACTCCAAACCACCATCAGTTTTCAAGGACAAACAGCGTTGGTCATGAAGAGTGTTTGCGAAGGTCTCCTAAGTCCTAAGGAGTAAGTGAAACTCAGAGATGACGCTGTAAAATCTCTGTAAATAACATCTCAAGAGCTGCTCAGGTTGATCCTCATCCAAATACCAGTGAGAAAGTACAAGCCTCTTTTAAATGAATGAGAACGCCCAATCAAGCTTCAAAGACTACTAGGTGGATTAATTAATAACTAGTGAATGCTTGTACCGAAATTATGGAACTTGACCATTATTTATCTTCTATTCACTTTCTTCCCTCTGGTGCTCCAAAATCTAGCTACAGTAGCTTCACAGATCCGGTACCCGTTCTGGCCTTCTGTTGAACGTGTGAGTAAAGAGATGCATGCAAAAACGGGGCCAGACAAGACGCAGCCGCACATCGAATCTGTGTTCCAAAAATTGGGAATGGCTGTGAATCAACACGAAGGCAGTCACGATTTTTTGTTGTTTCCCCTGGCTTTCTTCTTCTCACAATCTCACTCTAGAGCCAAACAACAACAGCTCAACAACAACAAAAGCAACAATAGCTTCCTCTACCAGATCTTATCATCACAACCAATTTTCCAATATGCCAAAGATCTCAAGAACCAAGGAAATGATTGAACTCCCAGCCGACTTTGTGCCAGGTCCTTCTCATGTTATCTGCGCCAAAGGCAAGCAGGCCAAAGAACACAAGGCCAACAGATTGCTTCGATACCTCGTACAGCAAAACGTGCAAGAGTATTCAGAGACCGCATCCAAGCTTGAGCGATCATTCATTGTCTCCAAGATTCTCAAGACTATCCGCCAAGATGGAGGCTTTGTTCGACAGGTCAGCGGAAAGTGGTATGACGTTTCTGACCGCAACGCTCGCGAGAAGATTGGCCAAATCTTTCGAGACCAATTGTCCTGGCAATTCAAGTCTTCCACCAAGGCCAAGGCTAGTGTGCGCCGTCAACGAGCCGTTACTTCTTCAATTTCTTCCTCTTCCAGTAGCGGTAGCAGTGTCTCCTCCTCCTCGGATGACTTCTGCCAACAATCTCTCAACACACCAGTTGCCACTACCAGCATTCCTTCCTTCTTCCCACCCACCGAAGTCAGCTTTCCTCCAGTGACTCCTGAATCTCCCATCAAGCAAAAAGTGACCATGGAAGTCGATGACTTTGAACCTCTTCCTTTCTCCGCACCAAAAATGGAGATGAATGACCTTGAGCCTCTTCCCTTGGAACAAGCCATTGTCATGGACTTTAACATGTCCGGTCTCACTACTGCTTCCGACGATTTCTTCTTTGTCAACAACAACAACGACACTGATGATTTCTGCTTCGATCAAGCCTTTGACGAATTCCAGCTTCAATTCTAAACAACCGCACCAGTCGGAATGGTGACACCACCAACCAACCAACAGCGGCAACCAAACTCGTGACAGTTCCTATCTTATCTTTCCATATCCAACCCTATCCTATCTATCTGTTCTATCTGTGATATCTGTGATATCTGTCCTATCTGTCCTATCTGTTCTATCTGTCCTATCTGTCCTATCTGTCCTATCTGTTCTATCTGTCCTATCTGTCCTATCTGTTCTATCTGTTATTGAACGTCAAAGTTAAAGTGAAATGAAAGTGAAACGTAAAACGTAAAACGTAAAACCCAAAAGTAAACAAGTAAAACTTGCAAATTGTAACCTGCACCATACAAACCAATATGTCTATAGCTCCAACTAAAACATTAGAGCTGACAACCACCAGGCAAGCATCCCATCAAAACTCAGCAACGTAAATCCGCCATGGTCATTGGGCCGTACCGGTACGGGGCCGCCCGGATCAGCAGGCAAAGGACGTCAGCCACCTTCAAAAGAAGCAATCCATCCAAGAAAAGACACCAGCAGGTGCTTGGATGAATGCTGATCGGGAGGGGAAGGACGCAATAACGGAGTAAAGGGAGGATAGCTGCCGGTATACCTGTAAGCATCAGCGGCTTTGCAGTAGTTGCCAGTCCATATACATGTAGCCACTTAGCAGTCATGAAGGTACGCCGAAAGAGGCACATATTGTGCTACAGAGAGGCTTTAGCCAGCTCCGGTGGTTGGCTTTCTCCATTGCGTCCTCCCAGAGTCCTAACATGCTCGGTTACGCGCTTTCCTTTTCCAGAATACGCACCGTGTCCTTGTCCTCTATATCTATCTTTGAGCACTTTCCCTCCAAACCACTGGCCATCGCAACCCAACTAGTGGGGTAAAAGAGTAAGGTTTGCGAGTCAGAGGTCGAGTGCGGCGTGATTATCGCCTTAATGATCGCCCCATCGGGGACTTGCTGGTTTCATGTGATGTTCTCTCCTTCATACGAACCATAAAGCTCTAAAGCTTTGGAAATAGCTACATGAGATAGCTGGCTATACGTGATCTGTTTCGGTCACACGACGGGGTTGCTTGTCCATGGTCGTCCAATCCCTGTAAAGTGCTCAGGGCAAAGCCGGAGCGGCGCCAATGTTGCACATCAGGGAACTTTGCATTGGTGCTCATCGTTTTGCGTGGCGGCGAATCTCCTGTTGCGTCCAACAATAGTGTGCTGGTGTTGCATTCAGTCGAACATTTGGTGAATGATACGACAGTTTAATAAGCTAATCTACTCTAAGAAAATCTGCACAATCTAAAACCCTGATGCATCGAAATAGATTCAGTGCAATCGTAGGCCGAAAAGGCAAAAGCAAACATGAGGCAGGCAGAAAGAGACCGACGACACGGGCCCGTATTCATTTGTACCAACCGGGCCAAATAGAGTGATTGGCTCCCGAGAAGAAGCGAGACTGGCACAAGTACTAGACAGTTGTGTCTATGCCGTAGCAGACATTTCACAATGAAGTTGGTTGTTGGTTGTTGGTTGGACTAGGTTGAGGAAGAGACACAACTGTGCAGCGCATTGGCGCAACAAAGACCATTGAGCACAAGCCAAACATCGTTTCCTGCAAGCTCACAGTAGCCTGTAACGATCCCACGGAGTTTTAGCATGTTTGGCTTGCTCATATTGGTTGCCGCCGGCTTCCCTGCCATAGTTGAGGGGTCCATCATCTTCCTCTTCCGAACCAGAGTCGTCATCGCTGTCCATTTCTACGCGAGAGCGTTTCTTGCTGTTGCTCTTGTTGTTGTTGTTTGCAACAGCTGTGTTCTCTTGGTTGAAGGGCGTGTCCATATGCTTTTCGTATTCTCTAAAGTCGTGAACTTCCTTGTCCTTCTCAGCGTTCTGAGGACGAGTAGGGCTCTTCCGAGTGATCCACTGGAACCCAACCTTGACCAGCTTCTCAATCTTCTCCTTGGTCAGGATGCCCTTCATTCCCTTCTTGAGTTTGCGGTACTCTCGACGTTGAGCATGAACCCAAGTGCCTAGCTCCTTGTCGGATTGAGGAACATTGCAATGCCCTTCCTTTTCCTTGAACTCCTGAACAGCAACAATGAGTCAATGGTCAATATATACACCGAGCTTGTCGAGGCACAAAACATGAGTTTTCCCTTACCAACAGGTCTTGGAATCGGTCTTCCCAGCTCTTCTTGCGCTTGGGCAATACTGAGAATTTGAGTTTGCGCTCAAAGTTGAATCCCCACGACTTGAGTCTGTTGATTTGTTCTTCGGTCAAAGAGGACTCAATCCCATCCTCCTGCAGCTGCCAGTATTTTCGGCGCGTCTTTGCAACCCACAAGGCCAAGCAGCTACCTTCTTGCTGGGGTGGATCCTTGCCATGTTTCAGTTTGTATGCCAACCACTCAGCTGCCCTATGATCAAAGTTCATGCGACGGTTTGTCTCGAAGCGAAATCCCAGCTTGGTCAACTTCTCCATGCGTTCTGGTGTCAAAAGAGACTTCTTCCCCTTTTGGAGCAACTCAAATTCATCCCGCATTTTGACCGTCCACTTTCGCAGCATGTTGCTCCAATGCGGCATGGTATTCACCCCTGCTTTTCTCCTGTGTGGAACCTCCACAGTCCCGTGAGTTTCCTTGAATGCCACAAGCTGAGTGTACATTTCGTCCCAATCTACATCTCGGACTGTAGGTTGGTTAAGAGGTTCCGCCGCTGGTTTCACCCCCAGTGACACGAGTCGATCAATTCGCTCTTGACTGTAACAACTCTTCTCGGGATCCTTTTGATAGTCTCGAATGGCGACTGCCTGATAACCAACCCAGCGGTAGAAATTGTCATTTTTTCCATTATTGTGTGCAGGTTTTTTTACCTTGACAGAGCCATCATGTTGTTCCTTGTACTCCTGCAGCATTTTGAAATTGGACTCCCATGTCTCATTGCGCTTGGCACCCCATTGCTTGCTATTGCCATTGGTATTGCCAGTCCCAATGGAAGATCTATCAATGGTCGATACGAAACCGAGTTCTTCTAGCTTTTTGACATACTCCGCATCCTTTTCAGAGACTGGTTTGTTGTCGGCACGCAGTTGTTCGACCTTTCGAAGTCGACCTCGTTCGTACTGGACCCATCGTATAAAGCCAGTATCATTGTTGTCCGTGTAGCACTTTTGAATATTAGTGGAACCGTGCTTTTCCTTGTACTCCACCAATCGTTTGTATCGGTCTTCCCAGGATACCTTGTTGGGATCCGCTGGCTTTGGTTTGGCCTTTTTGGGTTTCTCCTTGGGAGTTGGTTGATTGGTTGTATTGCCAAGTGGTGGTACCACGGCAAGCTGAGCAGCCGCCATGGGAGTAGCAGCAGGCACCATCGTGGCACGAGGAGGAGCAGCCGCCATCATGGGAGGAGGAGGAGCCGCCATCATGGGCATCATGTGATAAGGGTACCCAGGTGGCATATAGCCGCCCATAGTGGGATAGGCCATGGCGATATTATTTCCAGCGGGCAGCAGATTGTTTCTTTTGAGGTTGGCTACAATATCTGCGGCTTCTTTTCCGAGACCCATTGGCTGGGAATAATTGTTGCTGGCTCCATTCCTTGGTGGATTGTTGTTGTTGTTGTTGTTCGTGGTGGCAGGTGGGACGGCACGAGCAGGAGCATTTGTGTTCGGTGGTGCATTGTTGGCAGTTGGCTTGGAATGGTGCCATGCTGCTGTCCTTGGTGGATTGTTGTTGTTGTTATTTTTGGCAGGTGAGTCGTTCTTGGATCCTGGTGGATCTTTGGAGGGAGCATTTGTCTTCTTTGGAGTAGGTTTGGCAGTCGCTGCTGCTGGTGCTGCATTTCCTCCTTGAGTTGCTGCTGGTTGTGTTGGCGGAGGTTGCTTCCGAGAATCATTCGGGATTTTGGTGGTTGTGGTTTCTGTTGTTGTGGCTATTTTAGGTGTTCTGGGTGCTATTGGAACAGGAGGAGCTGGTGCTAGTGGAGGTGGCTTCTGAGAAGCATTGGGTATTTTGGTGGTGGTTGTTGCTGTTTTAGGTGTCCTGGGTGCTATTGGCATTGGAGGAGGAGGTGGTGCTGCTGCTCGTTGTGGTGGGGGTGGAGGCGGAGGTGGTCTAGTAGGATACTGATGAGGCATATTATAGACTGGAGGCGGATACCGGTAAGGCATTGGAAAATGACGATTCGCCACGGGAGGACCAGCAGGAGGAACAGGAGGACAGGAAGAGCCCGTGGATTGGCATACGGAGGAGGAGGCGGTGCCGCATATGAGGAACCCCAAGTTCTGGGATTGTCGACGGCAGGAACCGGCAGTGGTTTCTTCCAAGGCATAATATACTGCACGGCATCCCAAATATTTTGGAATTCTCGGTACTCCACTACAGGTGCGTCATCACCATTGTCGCCATTCTTCTTTTTGGCTTTGGCGACAGCATAGCTCTTGCAGTCCTCCACACAGGTAAAAATAGCCGGTGATTTCAGCAATGCGCTCTTTTTGATGGCCCAAAACTTCAACGGCTGCTCTTCTTCCACTCGTTTCTTCTCAGATTCCACTCGTTTCTTCTCAGCTGTAGGAGCTGCTGTAGGTTTTTTGGGAGCAAGAGCAGTGGGTTTCTCTGCGGTGGGTTTGGGAGCAATAATAGCAGAGGGTTTGGGAGCAATGGCAACCGGTCTGGGAGCAATAGCAACGGGTCTGGGAGCAATAGCAATGGGTTTGGAAGCAAGAGGAGTAGACATTGCTGCCGTGGCTACTAGCTAGCAAGCTGAGGCTGTCTCCAAGAGTCGAGACAATCGAGGCCAGAGCACAACACACAACACCGTCACAACCTCGTCTGTATTAGTGCTGATTGAATTCAATTCGATTCGATTCTCTCGTCTCGAATGCTGGTCCTCCATCAACGCGATTGAATGCCGTGCTGGCTTCGCTTTGGCGCTTTCTTTTCCACATGTAGGCAACGCGCGTCAGCCGCGTCGGAAGCACATACATTTTTTGTGATGAGTGACGGGTCGAGTGACTGAGTCGAGTCACACTCAAGCTCTCGAGCGATCTTCGAGTGTCCTGGAGCTCTCGACCCTTGAGCACTCGAGCACTCTCCCCCGCCTGGACCCCGCGTCCTTAGCTTCGAAACTTTGGCATTCAGCCTCTCCGTCCATTGGACTCAACTGTCGCTCGACTCGACTCGACTCGACTCCCGACACTCGCCGTACCGGTATGATCAAGATGTCTCGCAGAGGATGATCCTAATGATTCTTCCAAAGCGTCAATCAATCAATCAAACCCTTGGTCGGTTTGGAGCTGTACCGTTTGTTCCATTC